GTCTGGGCACGCCCGTGGGTGCTATGGATTTGGCTATCCATTCTGGGGCAGAGGGAGGGCCTCTTTCCTAGGCCAGGCTGGGAGCTCCCATTCAAGATTTTTATCTTTTTTTCCCCTTGGTCCCACAGGAAAATGGTTCCTCAAGCCAGCAGATGGATGACCTGTTCGACATTCTCATTCAGAGTGGAGGTAACCCCGGGTCCCTGCTGTCTCCCTGACAGCCTCCTCTCTTCATAGGTGTCTCTAGCCCTGGGTTGGTTGGTTTTTATCGAATGCTTCATGCGTGACCAGTCTCGGGCAGGCACTGGATGCAGCAGTGGCTACAAGCCCTCCTGTCTCCAAGGCCTGGGTGAAAGGACCAGGGAAGGTGCCGTCCTTCAGCTGGGAGCACTGCCCCAAGGCCCTCGCCTGCCCATGAACAGAAGAGACATTTGCCCTTGTGGAGCTGACAACAAATATATAAATAAGCAGGTCATATGGAAGATCCAAGAGGAGCCTTAGGAGAAATGGAGGGGAGGGAAAGAGGTCTGGGGAGCCTGGCAGGGAAGGTCCAGGATGCCTCCTGTGAGCAGGAGCAGCTGTGTGCATCTGTGTGGCCTCGGGATCGCCTGTCGAGTTGGAGTGGAGTTGAGAGAAGAGGAAGAAGGACTTTGTGGCCAGATCACGTGGGCTTCCTGGGCACCAGGGCAGGGTGGCTTTGGCTGGACTGTGTGGAAAGCCATCGCACAGCCTTGAGCAGAGTGGCCTGGTCTGATGGAGGACCTAGGAACCTTCCAGCTGCTGTAGCGACAGTAGCTGCACAAGGGCAGAAGCAAGGAACCCCGGGTTGGGGGCAGCTGGAGAGCAGGGCTGTGGCCCAGCAGGCAGCAGTGGCAGGCAGAGGAGTGGCTGGAGTCGGCCCCATTTGGAGAGCCGGGTTGGTGTCCTTATGGATGAGATGAGGGGAGAGGGAAGGAACAGCCAAGAATGACCCCAAGGGCTGTGGCTTGGAGGGCCAGGGTGAAGCAGCCATTGGTGGGGTGAGCCGAGGGGGGAGGTGGCACATGTGGGACCACATTGTGCAGCCTGATGGGATTTGTCATGAGCCCGAGTGGAGGGTTCACAGGGACAGTTGACATCAAGTGGCATTTGTGAGAGAGGTCAGGGCCGGAAGTAGGAGTTGGGGTGTAGTGGCATCTAGATTGGCAGTCGGAGCCAGGAGGCAGCCCAGAGCGTGAGGTGGAGGAGCAGAGGTCGGGGCTGAGCCCAGCCTTGGGGGTTGGGAGGACAAGCAGTGGCAGGGCACGGTGTCCTGGAAGCCAGCTGCAGCCAAGGGACCTGAGGATTGAAGCCTGGTCATGGAAGCAGGCGTCATGGGTACACAAGCAAGTCGTGAGAGGCCTGAGAGCAGGGTTGGGGTGGCCATGGAGAGCTCTCTGGGAGGTTTCCCTGCAGAGGGGAGGAAGGAGGAAGGAGGTAGGGCAGGTGCTGGCAGGAGATGGTGCACATCTGTGTGAGGGGACCCAGCTGTAGTGGGAGATCCCAGAGGACCTGGAGATGGCCCTCAGGAGGAGCTCGGGGACCTTACTGGCGGCAGAAGGCAAGAAGGCTGGGCATGTGGTACTGATGCTGGGCACCGAGCGTGGACTTGTCTCCTAGTGTTACTGGCTCCAGGAGGAGGGACTCGGGGGTGCAGGCAAAGCAGGAGCTCAGCCTGGAACCACAGCTCTGCCAGGGTGGACTTGATGTAGGAATTTTATTTAATTTTATTTCAATGTCAGACGAGCTCAGTCACTGGTGTTCCTGTGAGGTCAGCAATTCTCAAGCCATAGGGAGAATTTCCGGGTCCTGGGGGCACTACTGCAGGTGGTACCACTGTGAGGACACTGGGCTGGGCACTCAGGAGAGAGGCTTTGGGAGGTTCCAAGGGAAGGAAGCAGCTACCCCAGAGAAGAGATTGTTCAAGAAGGAAAAGAGAAGAGGCCTTGAACTCTAGCTTTTAAGCAGTGGCAGAGAAAGGGAGATGGTGAGTGTGGGTGCTGCCTGCCCCTAAAGGGACACTGAGAAGTGGACCAAGAGGTGGCAGTGATGCCAGAAGCAGGTGTTTGAGGAGAGAGGTCTGGGCAGGTGGGGCGGCTGGGCAGGCAGTGACCTCCTTGCCTGTTGAGAGCAGCCACAGGGCAGAGAATGCATTCTGCCGGGACAGGAGGGGCCGGAACCTGCAGGGTTGGGGAGCAGGCCTGGTTTCTGCATAATTATTTTTTTAGTTGTGGTGAAATTACAAAATTTGCCATTCTAACCATTTTTCAAGTGTCCATTCACAGTGTTGTGCAACTATCACCCCGATCCACTCTAGAATTTCTACCTCACCCCATAGGGAAACTATCCAGACAGTAACTCTCCACTCCAGCCCCTGGCATTCCCCATCCCACTTTCTACAAACTTGCCTGTTGTAGGGACCTCACAGAAGTGGAATTGCAGTTTGCCCTGTGTCTGGCTTATTTCACTCAGTGTAATGTCCTCAAGGTCCATCTGTGTTGCAGCATGTCAGAGCTTCTCTTTTTTTTAAAGGCTGAGTCATATCCCGTGGTGTGGATAGACCACTTTTTCTTTATCCATTCATCTGTGGCTGGACACCTGGGTTGTTCCCACCCTCTTAAGTGTTGTGAACGGTGCTGCTGTGAATGTGGGTGTGCAGGTGTCCGAGACCCTGCTTTTAGTTCTTCCGGGCATAAACCTAGGGCTGAATTGCTGGGTCGTATGGTAATTTCTGTGTTTAACTTTTTGAAATCTCCGAACTGTTTCCACTATGGCTGTAACATTTTACATTCAGACCAGCAAGGCACAAGGGTTCCACCTCCTCACCAGCACTACTTGTCAATTTTTTGATACAAGCCATCCTAATGTGTGTGAAGTGGTGTCTTACAGTTTGCATTTCTGTCATTAGTGATGTGGAGCATCCTTTCATGTGCTGCCTAACCTTATTTGTATATTTTCTATTGGAGAATGGCTGAGTCCTTTGAACCTTTTTTTTGACTTTTTTAAAATTTGGTAAAATACACCTAAAATTTACTTTTTTTTTTTTTTTTGTCGGGGGGTGGGTAAAGATGGGGTCTTGCCTTGTTTCCCAGGCTGGTCTCAAACTCCTGGCTTGAAGCCAGTCTGCCTATCCCGGCCTCCCAAAGTGCTGGCATGACAGGTGTGAGCCACTGTGCCCAGCCCATCGTAACCATTTTGTTGTTGTTTTGAGCCACAGTTTTACTCTGTCCCCCAGGTTGGAGTGCAGTGGCGTGATCTCGGCTCACTGCAACCTCTGCCTCCCAGGGTCAAGGGATTCTCCTGCCGTAGCCTCCCAAGTAGCTGGGATGACAGGCACACCACCACACCTGGCTGATGTTTGTATTTTTAGTAGAGATGGGGTTTCAGCATGTTGGCCAGGCTAGTCTTGAACTCCTGACCTCAGGATCCATCCATCTTGGTTTCCCAAAGTGCTGGGATTACAGGCGTGAGCCACCACACCTGGCCAAGTTACTTGTCTTTTGTGACAGGTTATTTCACTAAGCATAGTGTTCTCAATTCCTTCATGAATTGATGGACACGGGTTGCTTCCACATTGTTACTACTGTGAATAATGCTGTTATCAACACCTGTGTAAGAATTGCTAGATCTTATGGTAATCCTATTAAGTTTTTGAGGAACCTCAAAATACTGTTTTTCATAGCAGCTGTACCATTCTGCATTTCTGTCACAGGGTACAAGAGATCCAGTTTCTCCGTATCCTCACCAACACTCTTAAAAATTTAATTTTGCCGGGCACAGTGGCTCACGCCTATAATCCCAGCACTTTGGGAGGCTGAGGGGCAGATCATGAGGTCAAGAGATCAAGACCATCCTTGCTAACATGGTGAAACCCCATCTCTACTAAAATATACAAATTAGCTGGGGGTGGTGGCACGTGCCTATAGTCCCAGTTACTCTGGAGGAGGAGGCAGGAAAATTGCTTGAAAACCTGGGAGGCGGAGGTTGCAGTGAGCCTAGATCACACCACTGTACTCCAGCCTCGCTCCTGGTGACAGAGGGAGACTCTCAAATTATAGTAGCTGCTCCAGTGGGTTTGAGGTGTATCTCACTGTATTCGCCCTCATGACTCGCGATACTGAGCTCTTACGTGGTGTTGGCTATTTGTGTGTCATCTTTGGAAAAATGTCTGTTCAAATCCTTTGCCCATTCTTGAATCAAGTTTTTTTTTGTTGTTGAGTTTTAAAAGTTCTCTGTGTATTCTGCATATCACTTCTTTAAAAGCTTTATAGTCTTGGCTCTTACATTTTAAGTCTTTAATCTGTTTTATTTTTATAAATGATGTGAAGTTGGGGTCCACCTTCATTCTTTTGCACGTAGATATACAGGCTTGGTTTCTGATACCCATTTACTGTGTCTTGATTGGCAGAAATTTCAGCAGATTTCAAGGAGCCACCATCCCTGCCAGGGAAGGAGAAGCCATCCCCAACCACAGTCTGTGGGTCCCCACTGGCAGCACAGCCATCACCCTCTGCTGAGCTCCCCCAGGCTGCCCCACCACCACCGGCCTCACCCTCCCTCCCTGGGCGTCTGGAGGACTTCTTGGAGAGCAGCACAGGGCTGCCCCTGCTGACCAGTGGGCATGAGGGGCCAGAGCCCCTTTCCCTCATTGATGACCTCCATAGCCAGATGCTGAGCAGCACTGCCATCCTGGACCACCCCCCATCACCCATGGACACCTCAGAATTGCACTTTGCCCCTGAGCCCAGCAGCAGCATGGGCCTGGACCTGGCTGATGGCCACTTGGACAGCATGGACTGGCTGGAGCTGTCATCGGGTGGTCCCGTGCTGAGCCTGGCCCCCCTCAGCACCACCGCCCCCAGCCTCTTCTCCACAGACTTCCTCGATGGCCATGATTTACAGCTGCACTGGGATTCCTGCTTGTAGCTCTCTGACTTGAGACTGGGGGTGGGGAAGGGGCTGGGGAGTCAGGGTACTCCAGTGCGTGGCTCTCCTGCGTGATTGGGCCTCTCCACATGGTTGTGAGTCTTGACAATCACAGCCCCTGCTTTTTCCCTTCCCTGGGAGACTGGAACAGAGAAGCCCCTACTCCTGGTTCAGGCCTACCTAGGGCAGAGGAAAGCAGCTGTCAAGAAGCAGCCCTGGTTCTCACGCTGGGGTCTTGGACACCTGGTCAGGGCCAGGGCCATTTCAGCTTGACCTCCTTTTTTGAGGTCAGGGGGCACTCACTGGCTACAATTTGGCTAAGGTAGGTAAAGCCCAGCCAGGATGCTTCTCTTCTGGCCCAGGGCTGAGACAGGTCAAGGGGTGAATCTCCTTCCTTTCTCTTCCCCGCTTTGCTCTGAAGGGAGAAATTAGCCTGGGCTGCTACCCACCCCCATTCCCGATGTCTGCCAACCCCAGGGTCCCAGGGCTCCCAGCCATTTTAGTGTCTTGGTGTAATGTAACCATTTAGTGGTTGGTGGCAAAAATTTTCTGTACAAGTGTATATACCTCTATTATATATCGACATACATATAGACATATTTTTGGGGGGAAGGAGATGGGTGCCACTCTCTCCCATCCTACTTTCACAAAAGGGCCTGGAAGGCCATAGCTCCTGGAGGCTGGATGCAGGGTTACCCTTCAGCTGTGTGCCAGGCTGGTGCCCAGCCTGGCATGCAGCTACCCAGGCCTACCCATCACGTGTGGTTGACATGTAGACACCCTGCCAGTCTGTGCCCCACCTGCCCTGCTTTCTGGCTCTTTATCAGTGCCACGAGGGCAGAGGTGCTTCCTGGCCTTCCTGCCAGGAGCTCTCTACCCACTCACATTCCGTCCCCACCGCCTCACTGTAGCCAATGTGGCCCTGGGACAGGAGGGGATTTGGGCCCAGCTTCACCCCGCTGTGGGGCTGAGAGGTGGCGTTGTGGCGACCTGCCCTGGGGCCACTGGCTTTGCATTCTGGCCTGACTCGTAGGGGAGTAGGGATGGAGTCACCAAAACCAGTGCTGGAACAAACACGGGGAAGGTGTGTGAACTTTTTAAAATAAAAACAAAAACACAGGCCTGACAGTCCAACTTATTCAGTCCATAGAAGGGGTGGGTGGCATAGCTGGGTCCTGGGCCTGTTGTGTCCCACATCTGAGCGGCCAGGCAGTGCCAGACCTTGGATCTGAAGCCAGCCAGTACTTTCTCAAAGACAGTTTATTTATAAACCAGAGTCCAGGAGCCTATTAGCTCATCCCCACCCCCTTCCCTCTTCCTGAGCAAAGATGTGGCTCCCCACCTCCTCAAAGGTTTTTGGTACAAACTGTGGTTTGGGCCCTAAGGACCCTGGGGGGGCAGGGCACCCTCTGCTCCCACCACCTGGGATGTGCTGGGAAAACTGGAGGGGGGGTGCAGCCTGAAATCCCGGGGCCCTGGGCAGGGCTCTGGAACACCTCTTCCCCAGACCCTGCAGCCTGGGCCACCGCAGGCCCAAGGCTGGCCAGGGTGAGGAGGAAGGGGTCACCCATCCACATCCCAGCTGAAGAGGTGGTGCTTCACCAGCATGTCTCGGACGCCCTCCTTCAGGGGCTGCTGCGCCTGCAAACAGGGCAGCTTCTCACCTCACAGGCCTTGGGCATGGCCGGGGCCAGGGTGGTTCCTAATCACTGGCACCAGCACTCTGGGTCCCCACCTTGGCCACCCCAAGACCTGTTTGGGCACCTCCATCAGTGCAGGCCCTATGAGGCCCACACCACCCACCTCTCTCTTTGCAGGGAGCTCCCAGTCCTGGGAGAGGCTGAAGGCAAAGCAGCAGAGGACTCTAGAGGTGAGGAGTGGGGCAGTGAGGCTCCTGTCACCCCAGCCAGCCCTTCCTACCCCACCTCCATCCCCAACCCCAGGCCTGGCCCAGAGGCCCAGCTAGGTCCTCACCGGAGCTCACACTTGATCTGGACCCAGCCCGGGCTGCGCAGGAAGGACCAGGGCTGGTACCACTTCTCCACTGTGGGCAGGCTGGAGCAGAGCACCTCCAGCCACAGGTGCAGCACCTGCTCACTAGGGACACGGCCAGGAGTGGGAAGCAGGGGCAGCTCCAGGCCCTTCTGGCTACAGCCATAGTGGGGGCCTCTGACCTGTCCCTCAGCTCCCAGACCACCCTCTTCAGGGAAGGACCTGGGCGCCACCCTCCCCCCACCACTCCAGGGCTCTTCTCCAACCCCTTTTCCACACTCACTTGAGCCCCACGCAGATCAGTGAGCGGAGCTTCACATCCATTTGTGCGTGCACTGCATCGTGGGTCACGTTCACAGACTGCACAGCCTGGGGACAGCACAGGCAGCTGTCACTCGGGCTAACCCCAGAGAGGTCTCTAGGGTCTGGCAGAGGAGGCTCCCCTTACCCGGTAGAGCAGCTCCTCCGGGGTCAGGACCTTGCCATCTTCGTCCAACCTGAGGGGGCACCAAAGCTCCTGGGGTGCCGGGGCTGGGTCAGGCCTCATTCTCCCACCACAGGCGACCCCAGGCCCATTTACCTGAAGGTCTTACAGAGAACCAGGCGGGAATACACAGAGGCAAAGTCTCTCTCGACCTCCCGGCCTGCAGCCTGTGAGGACAACACACGGTGTGAGTGCAGGGACAGGAAGATGCTGGCTCAAAGCCCTGGGGCTAGGTATCTGTCACCACCCTGCCAGCTCTTCCCATCCTCTTGGTGGGGCTCAGGGGCAGGAAGAGCCTAAGATGGGTGCTAGGGGGCACAGCAGGGGTGGTGCAGGGTGGGAAACATGGGCCCAGCCACTGACTTACCTCCTCGATAAACAGCCAGGGGTGGCAGGCACCCCCAAGCAGGGATGGCTTCTTCAGTCCATGTTCAAACAGGGCCTTAAGGGCTGGGCAAAGGGTCCCTCGCACAAGGTCTGTGACCCCCTCAGTCACTGAGTCGTCCCCCGCGATGGAGTACTAATAAGAGTGATGGGTGTGAGAAAGCCATGCCTGACGCCTGCAGCCAGGCACCTTCCCGTCCTCTGTGCCATGCTACAAGCCAGGACTCCCTGGGGACACAGGCCAGCCTGACTAGGAAGGCGCCAGCCCTGCCCAGCCTTCCCTTACCTCTTTGCTGCGCTCATCCAGGACTTCCACGAACTTGGCTGGAAACCAGCCTGCAGGAAAAACAAGCCCTGTGAGGCACAGCCAGGTTGCTGCCCCGATGGCTGAGGACAGGACAAACACAGCCTGCAGGCAGGCCACCAGCCCAGCTGCCTCGGGAAACCTCAAGCCAGACCAGGGGTATGGAGGAGAATGGCTACCCCAGGTCTTTGTCTTCTGTGCCCACCCTTCCTCCCTCTCCCAGCTCAAGAGCAGACCAAGGCCCCACCTCGCAGGCCGTTCAGCTCCCCTACCCAGCAGTGCTCGTCCTTCTGAGACACGATCTGCACAGGAGGAAAAACAGGAACCAAAGCTGGGTGCCAGGGGCCAGCACCTCCTGCACCATCAATACGACTCCTCAGCAACTAGGCCAGGCCAAGACCCCCACGTGTTCAGAAGAGAAGCTCTTGGCAAGGAAAGGGAGGGATGGGGCTTGGAGGGAGGCTGGGGAACCAGCCCTAGCCTGAGGACCTGGCAGTCCCTCGCCCCCACGCACTGTGATGATGTCATTCTTGCGGAAGCCCAGCTCGTCGTCGTCATGCCGCTCAAAGTCCAGCAGGGCCTTGGCTCGGCGCCGGTGGCTGCGTGAACACGCCACGTAGTTCTCATGGTCCCGCTGGTGGCTCTCCATGCTGTAGTCTGGGGTCAGCTCCTGCCACAGTGAACACAGGCCCCTGAAGCGGGAGAAGCCTCAGCACCACCAAGGGGGTTGGAGGAGTTAGGGCCGAGTTTGGTACCGGCCCAGGGTACTGGTGACTCACCACGTTGCAATTTTTGGGGTCTGTGCACTGGAAGTGGTGGGCCACGCGCAGGATGGCTTCCCGGAGGTCGGCTACCAGTTCCGTCTGCTTGATGTTCTTGGCCTTGAGCGCCTCCAGGTCATCCTCCCCTAGGAGGCCCAGACAGCAACGGTGACCACGGCCCACCCCAGGTGTGTGAGGACAGATGCCTGCATGCTCACACTGCTGGCACCCGCAGGACTCTCACCGAAGAGCAGGGCAGTGATGGTGGACTTTCTCCGCTGGGTCCTGCGGCGAACAACCTGCACCACGGGGAGTGAGTCAGGGCGGCCCGGGCCCCTGGGCGGAAGAGAACCCACCACCCTCCGCTTATGCTCTCTCATCTGAAATGGCCTGAGGCCGGCTCCGACAGTTGAGAAAGGAATGCCCTCTTCCCAAACCAGGGGCAGAACCCGAGACACACAAAGCCCAAGGAGGACTGGGTCACCCCACAGCTGTGGTCTGACTGGGCCCCTGGTGCCAGGCTCGGGGGGCAGAACAGGAAGGGCTGGTCCATTTCCCACAGCCCTCATACTCTGAGCTTCCTCAAGGTGACCCCTCCCCACTGCATGCCGTGGGCCCAGGTGGGGCTCCCCATCCTGGGCCACCTGAGAGAGGTTGGTGAGGGCACCAGCCCCCAGCAGCTGGCCCTGGTCTGCAATGAGATAGGCCAGGTGCTTGCGGCGCTGGGTCTCCACGGCCACATCGGTGAGGGAGCCAGCCAGCCGCATGGCCACCCCGAGAAGCAGCTCCACATCCTCCATCTGCGATGGGATATCCGAGAGTGTGTTGAAGATGGAGGCTGAGTTCTCTGACTGTATCAGCTCTTCCTCCTGGGCCATGCCAGAGCAGGATGGGGGAGGAGGTTGTCACTGCAGGGACCTGCCGCTAAGCTAACTTCAACCCATCTTCAGGGACCCAAGTTGCCTTGGCTCGGTCATCAGGGACCAGAGGGGCTGGTCTTGCCTGGCCTAGGGAGGTCTCTCCCTCCCTTCCCCATCTCGGGCTCCTACTCTTCAGCCTGAAGTGGGGCTCTGGGGACAGCAGGGCCCTGGAGCACCTTGAGGTGCAGCATGCCCAGTGTGAGCTGGAACAGCACCCGGGAGCCCTCGTAGAAAAACAGGTCCCAGATTCGCAGTAGCAGCTTGATGTCTACCACGCTGGCGAAGGCCGTGAGGAACCAGTGCAGCGTGATCAGGGACAGCTCTGTAAACACAGGTGCCGAAGCCCCGGGGAGGAGGTGGAGGAAACCTCCCCAGGACTGGAGTGAGGTCCTCCCTGCTCAAGAGGAAGGCGGGGAGGCAGGGAACACCAGAGAACAAAAGAGCACCAAACACCATGGGGCAGGGTACTGTGTCCCATCCCCACTTGGCCATCCACCCGAGGCCTCCACGCTGCAGCATGGGAGCCGGTGGCGCAGGAGCCCCTTACCGATGTCATGCTCTTGGAGCAGTTTGTCCAGACGAGGCAGGTACTGGACGATGAGGTGGCGCAGGACGCGCTGGTCAGTCTGGACGCCTAGCAGGGTCGTGCTGAAGTAGGAGGCGGGGAGCAGGTCCTCAACAATGGCGCACATCATCCAGAAGGCATCCTCCTCCTCCAGAAACAGCAAGAGGCAGGCGGCTACCTGGCCAGGGCACGGGGACAAGGGCCCTCTACCCAGGTCTTTGTACCAATTAGAAAAGGCACCCCCACCCTAGGGAGAACAATTAGCAGAAACCTCTCGGGGGCAAACATGCTGGAATGCAGGCCTTCCTCGGGCTGGTTTCCTTGGCCTGTATCAGTTTCATGTTCCTCATGGGGGGGGGTCCCTCTGCTTGAATAATGGGCAGCTCCCCCCTGATCTCCTTGGGGACTCCCCTATCCCCCTTCCTGCTGCCTTTTCTGGGGTTGTGCTCACCATGCCCGTGCCCTGGCAGTAGCCAATCTCTGGGTAGAGCCAGGCTAGGGCCCGGAGCACCCTGCGCAGACGGGGCACCCCGATGCTGCCCATGCTGGCGAAGCAGGCGTTGCTGGGCATGGTGCGGAGCAGGTCCTTCTCGATCTGTCAGGCAGCCACCAGCACCCACAACGACAAGACCTTGTGACACCCTGGGAGGGAGGCAGACCCCAGGCAGGCCTCTCCCCCAGGAATGGGGATTCCTTGTGCTCCTGGACAAGGTAACCCTCCTCCCTTCAGGGTCAGCTCCCAGCTAATGAGGGGACATCAAATCCACCTGGGAGCTTCATGCCAGACCGACTGACTGAGAACATGTGGCCTGGAGTCTATATTTAGAGTCCCCATCTGTTCCTAAAATGGACCCGGGCTTGGGAACCCCATCTCCAAGACCTTTCACGGCACTGATGGCCTAGAGAGGACCCAGGAGGGAACAAGTGTCCTCCAGGCACTTGTGGGTGAAAGGGTAGTCTCCCCTCAAAACAAGGGCACACTCTCAGAACCCCAGGCAGACCTCTTCCCTCCTGTGAGCCTAGATGCCTCCAGCTCTTCCTGCACAGCACCACCAGCCTCACCTGTTTGGCAGCAATGGTCTCATCGTTGGAGCTGTTCTTCACAATCTCGCGATAGGACAGCTCAGAGTTCTTCTTCTTCTGCAGGGCTCCAGAGAGCCGCATCCATAGCTGAAGGAAGGGAGCCAAAAGGACACTCAGTTTTTCTCGTGGCACCTGATCACAGGGCCAAGACCCCCTCAACCCCCTGTGGCCATCTTACCTGTGGCCTCATGCCATGTGGGATGCCAGCCAGCACCAGGGAGCGGAGCTTCTCAGAGCGGGGTAGGGAGACTGCAATCTTGTCCCAGGTGAGATCCCCCACGTCGTGGTTATGGGTAAACTCCAGGTGGGCCTGCCACCGCAGCCTCTGCGGAGCATCCTCCATCAGAGGGGAGCTCGCCAGTGGACTAGAACCAGGCTCACCACCTTCTGCCAGGAGAGAGCCGCGGGATATGGCAGTGAGCAGAGGAGGAAGGACGCAGCATGCTCCATTGCTGTTCTCCAAACAGCCAAGCCTGTCTTCAAGAGGGCCTGAGCTTCTTGGCTCCAAGCAGATCGCTCCCCCTAGATCCAGATTCCTACAGCTAATGGCTTTCTGACATGCACCTTATGACGAGCAAAACTCTTCACTTTCTCCTCAAAGCCACTCCTATCATAGTCCTACCCGGATACCGAAATAACACATTCTCCTGCTGCTCAGCCTAAACCTTGGAGTCACCTCTGGCTCCTCCCTCACCCAGACCCCACACTCAGTCCATCAGCAAACACACAGGATTCTTTTACATCTCACCACCCCTGACCACAGCCCTTGTACAAGCCATTGTTCTTCATCCGGATGGCTGCAGTAGCCCTCTCACTGGCCTCCATGTTGCTCCCCTTACCTCCCAAAGGCTGTTCTCCCCACAGCCATAGTGACCCTTCCAAAATGCAAGTCAGATCATGTCATTCTGGTTGCTCCCTCCACTCCAGTGACACAGTCCTCCTTGTTTTTCCCCAAAAAAGGCCACTACAGGGCCTTTGCACCTCTCCTTCCCCAGCTGTGCCCACTCCCTGGCTTCCTGCTGGGTTCTCTTCCAGTAGCATCTCCAAGAAGCCCTCTGTGGCTTCCTTATGTATGAGTGACTACCCCTCTTCCCTATCCCTGGAAGTATTTTTTTTTTTTTTTTTTTTTTTTTGAGATGGAGTCTTGCTCTTGCTGCCCAGGCATGATCTTGGCTCACTGCAACCTCCACCTCCTGGGTTCAAGAAATTCTTCTGCCTCAGCCTCCCAAGTGGCTGGGACTACAGGTGCGCATCTCCACGCCCAGCTAATTTTTGTATTTTTAGAAGAGATGGGATTTTTTAGCATGTTGACCAGGCTGATCTCAAACTCCTGACCTCATGATCCTTCCGCCTTGGCCTCCCAAAGTGCTAGGATTACAGGAATGAGCCACTGCGCCTAGCCTCCCTGGAAGTATTTTCACTGCTTTTCTCGTCCCAGCATACTACATGCTGGTTTGCTGCCTACCTCCCTCACTAGAATCAGAACTCCATGTAGTCGAGACAACCTTCAGTTTTGTTCAGGTCCTGGGGATGCAGCTGTGGAGAGTATACCACCCACAGTTGGGTTCATGAGCTATGTGTTGAATAATGAGGACAAGCTCTCCTGTGGCAACCCAGCAATCCGTGTGTGAACTCCACAGGCAGCCTCGTCCTTATTCACCTGAAAGCCAATCTGTCAGCCCAGCTTTCAAAGATACCAATTTTGATGACTTTACAGTAAAATGCGCAAATGTTAGGTGTACATTTTGGTGTATAAACAAATGTCTAAATGTTGTCCCCATCAAGCAATCTCAATTCCATGTATAACAGTGACCCAGACAAACACAGACATTTCCATCACACAGCAAGCTCCCTGTGTCTCTCAACCCAAACCTTTCACCTGCAGATACCTGCCTAGGAATCAGAAGAACAAGAAAAACTTTTGTCGGAACTGGAAACATGAGTGACCCGAAGGTGATTAGCTACAGTCAATTAAAATGTCCCAGCCACAGTTCTGGCCTGGCAGATGGCCTTCCCAATAGCCCACTCAGGACCAAAAGATCCACTTACAGTAAAAAACAGAAGTGGGCTAGAGACTCAGTTATAGGAAAGTGGTTATCCAATTACTGTAAGTTCATTATAATAGGATATTATGCAGCCATTGAAAATATGCTTTTTCTGAGACAGTCTTGCTCTGTTGCCCAGGCTGGAGTGCAGTGGCGCAATCTTGGCTCACTGCCTCCTGGGTTCAAGTGATTCTCTTGCTTCAGCCTTCTGAGTAGCTGGGATTACAGGCATCTGCCACCACGCCTGGCTGATTTTTTTATTTTTAGTAGAGACCGGGTTTCACCATGTTGGCCAGGACGGTCTTGAACTACTGACCTCAAGTGATCCACCCACCTTGGCCTCCCAAAGTGCTGGGATTACAGGCGTGAGTCCAGCCTGAATTTTTCAACTTCTCTGCAATGAACACGGTTGCTTTTATTATCAGGTAAAGATCAGTAAAATTTATCTCAAAAAAGGCAGAGGTCTCCCAGACTTATAACAGTATCACCCTCAAATATACTCTGTCCTTAAATCTGGAACACTGACACATCAGAACTTAGCCATCATGTGCCGTGTAATTCCACTCATGGGAGTGGCATCCTCCCCAAAGAGCAGCAGCAAGATGCCATGCAAGGGCTCCATTTTACCTTCCTTGTCCACCCGGAAACCAAACTCATCGTAGTAGAACTCTGGTTGCTCTGCTGACTCTTCCTTCTAGAATAAGGATGAGGAATGAAGTCAGTTGTCTGTTCCCCTCGCTGGGGCCCTCAGGCCTGAAAGATGCCACCCACAGGGTTGCCTGCTAAAATCCCACCCAGCCTTCAAGCTCAAATCAAAGGCACAGAATCCTTCTCGGAACTCAACCTCAACCTTCTCTGAACCTTCTTCTAGCATTTTCTCAACCTTCTTCTACAATTTTCCTTGTTCTTCTCAGAGGTGGGTCCCCTTCATATGGCAGCATAGGAGTGCAGCAGGCTGGTGCCTGGCTAACTGCTATACCTGCATGTACTTGGCCAAGGTCTCCTGGGGCCATATGCTCGGAGTCAGGGCTGAGAAAGGGCCACAGGCAGAAGGTGTATGGCTTCCTAAAACCAAACAGGACCAGGAGAACATTCAAGAAAAAGCAGAGGCAGGTGGGAGTACATTTTCTCCACCTCTCTTATCTGGATGGTATTTTTTTTTTCTTTTTTTTTTTGAGACAGAGTTTCGCTCTTGTTACCCAGGCTGGAGCGCAATGGCGCGATCTCGGCTCACCGCAACCTCCGCCTCCTGGGTTCAGGCAATTCTCCTGCCTCAACCTCCTCAGTAGCTGGGACTACAGGCACGCGCCACCATGCCCAGCTAATGTTTTGTAGTTTTAGTAGAGACGGGGTTTCACCGTGTTGACCAGGATGGTCTCGATCTCTTGACCTCGTGATCCACCCGCCTCGGCCTCCCAAAGTGCTGGGATTATAGGCGTGAGCCACCGTGCCCGGCCTATCTGGATGGTATTTTATGGAAAACAAACAAGCCAGCTTCCATCCCTCTGGCTCCTCTGTGAGAGCTTCACACCCCCTTTCCAAGTCCAGCCCCTGCTTCTACCTGACATTGCGCTGAGGGCTAGCAACTCTTCCGCAGCTCCAGTCTTTGAAGTCTCCTATCCTGCTATCTTAGAGTTGGAAGGCTCCTCAGGCTTCATCTGGTCCAGAATCATCTGCCCTGTTAGGAGGGCAAAGAGGAAAGGTTTTCCTTTTTGTTTGTTTTTTTGAGACGGAGTCTTGCTCTGTCACCCCGGCTGGAGTGCAGTGGCGTGATCTCAGCTCACAGCAACCTCCGCCCTCCAAGTAGCTGGGAATATAGGTATACACCACCATGCCCGGCTAATGTTTGTATTTTTAGTAGAGATGGAGTTTCATCATATCAGCCAGGCTGGTCTTGAACTCCTGACCTTATGGTCCACCCGCTGCAGCCTCCCAAAGTGCTGGGATTACAGGTGTGAGCCCCGGTGCCCGGCCTGAGGAAAGTCATTCTAAAGCACCCTCTCTCCTGTAAAGAGGGGTCCTTTCCACCCACACACTGATTTTGCTATCCTGGAGGCAGTGGGAACTGAAGCCCTAGCCATTGTTTAACAACGGAAGGGAAAAGCCACACTTTGCCCATTTTTATTTTTGTTTATTATTACTGTTTTTTGACTCAGGGTCTCTCTCTGTCACCCAGGCTAGAGTGCAGTGGTTTGATCTTGGCTCACTGCAGCCTCCGCCTTCTGGGTTCAAGTGATCCTTCCACCTTAACCTCCCAAATAGCTGGGACTACAAGCACATGCCACCACGTCTGGCTAATTTTTGTATTTTTTTGTAGAAACAGGTTTTCGCCATGTTGCCCCCAAGTTTCGAACACCTGTGTTCAAGCAATCTGCCTGCCTTGCCCTCCCAAACTGCTGGGATTACAGGCTATATACCAGGCCTTTGACCATTTGTCCATTTGTAAATCAGGCTTTTTTTTTTTTTTTTTTTTGATGAGACAGGTTCTCATTCTGTCATTCAGGCTGGAATGCAGCACCAAAATCAGCTCATTGCATTCTTGAACTCCCGGGCTCAAGTGATCCTCTTGCCTCAGCCCCCCAAGTAGCTGGGATTAAAGGTGTGAGCCACTATATCCAGCAGCTATTTGTCTTCTTACTGCTAACTTTTTTTTTTTTTTTTAAACAGGGTTTCATCCAGGCTGGAGTACAAGGGTACAATCACAGCTCACTGCAGCCTCAACCTCCTAGGCTCATGGGATCCTCCCATCTCAGCCTCCCGAGTACCTAGGAATGCAGGTACACGCCACCATGCCAGGCTAATTTTTGCATGTCTTCTAGAGATAAGAGTTTTGCCATGTTTCCCAGGCTTGTCTCGAACTCCCAAGCTCAACAGATCCGCCTGCTTCACCCTCCCCAAAGTGCTGGGATTACAAGCATGAGCCACTGTGCCTAGCCAAACCTTTTACTTCTAACTACACAATGAAAGGCTCTCACTCTGTGAAAGGAAACAGAGGTAACAATGAGATGTGGCTGAAAGACTTCAAGACAAGTTGTATGCGTTTTTGAAATTATATTCACCTAAACCTGGCAGTGAAAAAAAATTTACTTTTGCCATTTTTCAGACAATGATAGTTCAGAAATGACAATTGTTATCCTGGTCCATAGCAGCCCCTATTCTCCATGCTATCCGCCATGGGATTCTGGTGTTCAGAATTCCAGATAAATCGGGAAGAATTAGGTCAGTGAGAAAGCAGCAAAAAAGAGGAAAATCAAACCACCGCTTCAAGGGAGCTGTGAGAAAATCCCAGTTCTCTTTAAAGACATACAAGTGTGGGCACAAAAGTAGCTCCCATGGGCAGCTCAGCTTCTGCTCCTGCCCCAGAGACACGCTGACTAAACCAAGCTTAGGATAAAGGCCAAAGCAGAACATTCCTGACCATTAAAGAGACTCTGGTACCCAAGTGGGAGAGGTGCTCCCTCCTGCTTCCAGAGACGCCCGCTGAGAACCAGGCGGCAGAATCTGTTTCCCCACAGGCCAGCCATCCTGGTAGGTTTGTTCTGTGTGAAGAGAATGGAACTTTAATGTCTTCCTTCAGTGTAAAATATAGGTGATACAGGGTTTGACTCAGAATTATGAGTTGGATAAAGGATTACCTATTTTTAAATTAAAGAGACCAAGTCAGGAGTTTTAAAAAACAGTTCATGTCATCATTCAATCATTGTAACACATTTAGAAGTACATCGCCTTTATTCCATACACAAGAGAAAATAAGCCTAGAAGAGACTGACAGAGTTTCCAAATGGACTTCCAAAACTGTGCCCTGCCACACCATGCAACCCCACCCTAGGAAATGACGGACACATGGCCACCAGCTAGATGGCCCTGGGAGTGGAACCCAGTGTTCTATTACGCCTCCTGCTGGCTTGGAGCCCTGAGATGGCATATGGCTGTGGCAGAACAACCACATGTCAGCCTTAGGAGGAAGTGGGGTCAGCACTCATCCTCTGCACCATGATTAACAATAAAGACATCTCGGCTGGGCGTGGTGGCTCACACGTGTAATCCCAGCACTTTGGGAGGCCAAGGCAGGCTGATCACAAAGAGATGGAGACCATCCTGACCAACATGGTGAAACCCCGTCTCTACTAAAAAAAGTACAAAAAAATTAGCTGGGCATGGTGGCATGCACCTTTAGTCCCAGCTACTCGGGAAGCTGAGACAGGAGAATCGCTTGAACCCAGGAGGCGGAGGTTGCAGTGAGCCGAGATCTCGCCGCTGCACTCCAGCTCGGATGACAGAGCGAGATTCCATCTCAAAAACAAAAAAGCATCTCAAAGGCTGGGCACAGTGGCTCATGCCTGTAATCCCAGCACTTTTGGAGGCAGAGGCTGGCGGATCATTTGAGGCCAGGAGTCTGAGACCAGCATTGCCAAGATGGTGAAACCCTGTCTCTGCTAAAAATACAAAAAAATTAGTCGGGCATGGTGGTGTGTGCCTGTAATCCCAGCTACTCGAGAGGCTGAGACACGAGAATTGTTTGAACCCAGGAAGTTGAGGTGGCAGTGAGCCAAGACTGCACCACTGTACTCCAGTGTGGGTGACAGATCCAGATGCTGTCTCAAAAAAAAAAAAAAAAAAAAGTAAAGACCTCTCCAGTCCAATCCTAGCTCTGCTACTCCCCAACTTATTATAACCTTGAGCAAGTTTGCCTCACTTCTTTGAGTGTCAGTTTTCTTTTTCATAGAATGTAATGATAATACCTATGCCTTACTGCGGTTATGAGGATAACGTGAGATGATGCAAATAAGGCCTTTCACACACTCCCTGACACATATGAGTACTCAGTAAGCATCAGGCAATCAGTAGTCCTAAAAATTTCTAGAAAGTAATTGTCAATATCTGGGCCCTCTCCAGTAAGGTATACCAAAAACTATTACGCTGAACCATATGAAATTGCTGATATTCATCCATTACGTTCAACATAACATGTCCCAGTCGAGATCATGAGAAAGACTCCTCATCACCATCAGCCCCAGACGCAGAAGTTTGGTTGGTTGTTCTGAAAGGGCAGAGTAAAAGTGGGTAGAACATACAGGCTGCTGTAGGAGAGAAATGAGCTACATCTGGCTGCGGAGGCCTGAAAAGGCTGGGAAGACCCACTCAGGAGTCACTCCCCTTTCCTGATCTTGGCTCTCCTACTCACTCACTCATTCAGCTCATGGGGCTGAGTACCACTAAGAGCCAGGCAGCTTCTAAAGGCTGGGATGCAACAGTGGGGGAAAGAGTCTTGACCCTTACATGAGAGAATCAGATGATAAACACAGAAATAGATCGTGGTAACTACAGTGCTGTGAGAAAGGAAGGTCAGGTGTGGAGAGTGTCGGAAGAGAGGGGATTTATATCAAGTGGTCAGGTGCAGCTCTTCAAGAAAAAGGGTTAGGGACATGTGAGCAAAGACCAAAAGGAAGTGAGGGCTCCTGGCTACCCAAGGGAAGGGAGATCCAGGGAGTAGCAGCACCAAGCTGGGAGCACACTGGGCAGGCTGAAACAGCAGCAAGGCAGCAGGCAGGCCGGAGGGGCTGGGGGAGTGATGAGGAAAGAGTGGGAGGACATGCAGCAGGGGGCTGCGAGGCCTCACAGTGTGGCTGAGATGCTAGGCTTCATTCTCACTGAGCTGAGAAAGCAAGGGAGGGCTTTGAGCTCACTCTGGCTGCCTTGCAGAGGAGGTGGTGAACATAGAGGAAGTTGTTGGATTAGTCAGGGTGAAAGGTATGTTGACTTTGCCATGGTGGGAATGCTGAGAAATGGTCAGATTCTGGATATATTTTATCTTATTTATTTTTTCAGAGACAAGGTCTTTCTATGTTGCCCAGGTTGGTCTTGAACTCCTAAGTGATCCTCCTGCCTTTGCCTCCCAAAGTGCTATGATTACAGGTATGAACCACACCAGCCAGATTATAGATCTACTTTAAAGAGTCTGCAAGGTTTAGCTCTTTAATGCTACACACACATATACATGTATATAAGTATATAAAAACACACCACTTCTCGCACTGGCTACAGAGCCCAACCGGATGTGAATTGTTAAGCTGGGTGGGCAGGTTTTTCCTGCCTCTAGTCGCTATGGAAACCTTCCTGAAAGCAGCCATCTGGGAGTTGGCAGGAAGGACCCAGAGAGTTAGCCACGTCAGGGTAGCTGCCCTCCTGGTCACAGGAGTATTGAGAGGCAGAGACTTTTGAAAAACAGGATTCATTTAGGCACCTTTGCAGAGCTCTAGAAAGAATGTTTCAAAATTAAATGTACATACTCCCTATTTGCTAATCCTACAATTTCCTATAAGGCAAGTTTTGTTTAAAAAGCACAGAAGGCCAGGTAACACTATGAATCCCTGTTTTCCCACACCTGTGGGGAGGGACAGAAAAGGTTCTGTCCATTTCCTGTGGTCTCTTCATGTAGATCAGAGGGATCTGGCCCCCCATTCACTCCTGACCTACTATCATGTCCTGTCTCCTATTTTCTTAACAACACAGCATGGCTGCTACTATGACACAGATGGTTTTCTACAGACATTTACCAGGGAACACGAAAGCTGTAAGCAGTAGAAGCAAAAATACTTCTAAGAGGCCTCTGAGATGCTGAAGACTGTGTTTCCTCTGTGAGGAGGGAAGCTGAGACTGGAAGCTATGGATAAAAAC